CCTTCTTGTTGTCCTTGACATCCCTTGCCAGATTTAATTCCAAGTGGGTCTTAGCCTTCCTTCCTCGTCGCATCCCTGCACACTCTGACAACGTCCCTGTATTCCTCCCAAGTGGCCTGTCCCCTTTTCCACATTCTGTGGACTTCCTGCTTCTGTTGGAGTTTTGCCAGGAGTTCCTTGCTCAGCCATGCAGGTCTCCTGCCCGCTTTGCTGGTCTTCTTACTCAGAGGGATGCACTGCTCTTGAGCCTGGAGGAACTGATAACTTGAATATTAACCAGCTCTTCTGGACCCCCCTTCCTTCTAGGGCCCTACCCCAGGAGATTCCTCCAAGTAGGTGCCTGAAGAGGCCAAAGTTAGCTCTCCCGAAGTCCAGGAGATCTTACTTATTGTGATCCTGCTCATTGCCCTGCTCCCTCCTCGTAGGATCCTGAACTCCACCATCTCATGGTCACTGCAGCCAAGGCTGCCCCCAACCTTCACGTCTCCAACCATTCCTTCCTTGTTTGTTAGTACAAGGTCTAGCAGCACACCTCTCCTTGTTGGCTTCGCCATCACCTGTGTTAAGAAGTTATCCTCAGCGCTCCGCAGGAACCTCCTCGACTGTTTGTGTCTAGCTGTGCTCTCTTCCCAACAGATGTCAGGGTGGTTGAAGTCTCCAGGCCATGAGAACCAGGGCCTGTGATCGTGAGGCTACTTCCCGCTGTCTGTAGAAGGCCTCATCGACGACTTCTTCCTGATCAGGTGGCCTGTAGTGAACCCCTACCACTGTGTCACCCATGTTAGCCTGCTCTTTGATCCTTACCCCTAAGTTCTCATCCACCCCGAGGCAGAGCTCCACACATCCTAGTTGCTCCCTCACATACAGGGCAACTCCACCACCTCGCCTTCCTGGCCTGCCTTTCCTAAAAAGCACGTAGCCACCCAGGACAGCATTCCAGTCATGCGAGCTATCCCACCACGTCGCTGTAACTGCAGTGAGATCATGGTCCTGCGACTGTACACGGATCTCTAACTCTTCCTGCTTATTCCTCATTCATTCCCTCACGTAAATCTCCAAGGAGGAAAGCATTAATGAGTTCACGTATGAAAACTGGAAAAATTAAATCATCAAGATAAAAATGTGATTTCAAAGACAAATGAGCAAGTTCCTGTCTGGTCATGATTTTTCAAAGGAATTCCACCCAGTTTCTGTGGGCTAACGGTGTTGAACCTGACTGGGTTACTTTGAAATGTACAACTATGCTAAATATTTACAAAATATATCTGGGGGAAGTATTTACAGCCATTCAACATTTTCATCCTTAATTGCTAAAACAGAGAGAGCTGCAGCCCTGCACTTTTCACCTGTAAGTCTTGTTTGATGTCACATGAAACATCCAGGACTTGTGACATGGTAGCATGCACGAGGCTGTGCAGCCCTTATCCATGCTGCCACTTCTGCTAGCTCTGAGAAATAGAGATAAGAAGGCACTGAAGACAGCAATTAGAGTGTACAAAAGAGTAGCTCCAGCCATTAATGTGAAAATGCTGTTACAGCGCTCCTGATACAGAAACCTGTAATGATGATGTAGAAGATTACATGCAAACAAAAAACATGTGGATGACACTAATTAATGGCAGCTAACTGACTTACAGTGTATTCAGAAAACTAAGTAAGTGCTGCATGGTTTGGGGGGGTGGAATAGTCAAGAGAAGATTTGACAATTTGATTAATGTAGATCGATGTCCTCAAACAGGGATAGCTTAAGTTAGTTACTTGTACTAGTCCTTGGGCATCTAAAGAAAGCCACAAGACCCACAGGGACTGAATCACCACTAGAAATAGGATACTGTTGATTGAGATGCCTAAGTGCTGGTATATGTATGCAGCTTCCAGCAGTCCAGGCTGAAAATTTGGGGCATAATGTCTTCTTTCACCACTAGATGCCACTGAACAGCTTTAATTATAGGCCTGCATGATGAAGTTGCAAAGTCACAGTGTTGTCTTGGAATACTTTAGCATTTTTTTTGATGCAATAGCAGCAAAATAAGTATCACTTCAAGTAGAGTTTCCATGTGTCAAAGCATGCTAATTCCCTGTAAGATACAGAAGCTGTCAAACCAGAACATACCTGCTTCATCAGTAGTGATGGTGAGCTCATTGCTGGCCTCACTCTTGCCAATGCGATTCTTGGCATACATGCGAATGTTGTAAGTTGAGGAAGGGTGGAGGTCAATGATAGTGGCTTGGTTTAGCTGAGGGGAAACATCTTTGGTTCTCTGAACAGAATCCCAAGAGTCTATTTAATAAGATTAAAATAAAACAGACAAATAAAAGACAATGTTAGTGTTGCTAATGCAAATATTTTATTAAACCATCCCATACTGCCTTTGTAGAATTAGTCCAAATAACACTCGCTACTACCAGCAAATTGACTAATCACTTTTCTTAACAGCACTCCTGAATGCTCAAAATGTGGTGCTATTAAGTATGAGATCTCAGCCCAGGAGTCATCAATGATTCGGAGAGAATAGCTGCCTCTCTTTTTTGAGAGGGGTGGTGAGTGTGGGAAAGATTCCCCAGCTCTGTGCACATATGTGTTTGTTTTATCCTATTATTACATTGGAACAATTGTGAAAAAGGTGTGAGTTGCTGCTAAAATACTCCAGCAGCTTATGTGCAGGGCACTGTGGGAGCGTGGGTAGAGCACATGGTGAGCACGAGCTTGGACAGCTTTACTGGCTTGGACCTGAGGCTCAGCACCTGCCAGGACTGATGCTACTTCCCTGACTCGTGTTAGGATAGAGGAACAGTTTAACATGAGAGGACATAAGGATCCTTCTAACTGTTTGTATACATCTGTAAAAGGAGGAGCACATTGCTATTTTTCAGTTATCACTCTTCTGCCCTTTACATTTTTAAAAAATCTTCCAGATGTACAATAGGAAAAGAGATGGAAACTGGCTCCATACAGATTCCTCATAACCCCATACATAACCCCTCCTTTTCATAGTAACATTCAATCACAGCAAGAGAATAATAGCTTCTATCTGTTTAAAGCATCTTGATATCTCTTATGAGTTGCCATCCATCATCTCTTTCTTGCTGCATCCTATGTTCCTCCCTTAACCTCTGCAGCATCCTATGGGGGATGTCACTGGGCGCTCTACAGCCATGTTTCGCAGCATGGGTCACTGTAGGCAGGATCACGGAAAGCTCAACAGACAAGAAAGGCTAGTTTAAAAATAGAAAGCTTACTGAGATACAAAATATTTGCAGACACTGTGTAAATCTTTTTATAAGTAGCTTGTTAAAAGACGTGCAAGCTGTCACAATGACACGGCAGCCTGACTGGTTACAGGGCCTTTTTTTGTTTGTCTGTGTGGCTCACTTTCCCTAAAAAACCTTCAGGAATCAAATGTGCTTGAATTTATTTTCCCTTTGTAAATGACTTTGCCACAAATTCCTTTGCAGGAGTTCTGTCAGACTTTCTAAAGGAGTTATTTGCATGCAGTCCTGGTAGAATTTGCTTTCTTAAACTTTACCAAATTTCTCAAATGTGCTGATGGTCATGTATTGCCAGTGCCCAATATTAGAATGCCTACCGGTTGACACTCTTCTTTCAAATACGTCACTTACAAAGTGCCATAATGAACCAGTTGCTTATTTAGTTGATCACACCTGAGACTTGTCAAAGCCAAAAGCTTCACAGCATAAAATGAAACCCCCACAATGCAGAAAAAACAGAGAATTTCACATAATATTTGATTTAACAGTTACCCAGAAATGAGATGATCTCCACAGGTATTGCTGGCAAATTTTACATCTCTGCAGATCCTAAGAAACGGGAGAACCTGCAGGGAGGTGACAAAGCTGGTCTAGGGTGTTGTGGTGCTCAGAGGCTCTCCGCAGTTGTCAAGAGAGACCTCGAGCTAGCTGATGTGTGGCAAAGTAAGCAGGGGCCAGGAAAAGACTTAGCAAATGTTGAACCCAAGCTGCAGTAAAAGGATGCAGCCTCAACTGCAGCAGTGGTAGTAGCTGATTATTTTTATTTGTGTAGCACTGGGAAATCTTGACCAAAAGTTAGCCTCATTGTGTTAAACTCTGTACAAATACAGAAGAGCACAGTGTCTGTTCTGAGGTACCAGGCCAATTGTAAAGAACTTCATAAATGACCCATTTGGTGTGAAGAATGAGTTTAATTTCTACTAATGTAGATGATAATTTTCTTTAATATAATTCACAGATTAGCAAATTGTTTTTACTTGCTTGTTTGAAACATTTTCCTCCCTGACAGAAGTCTTTATTACATGTTAACTGCTGAAATCAAATAAACAAATCTGAAAAATCCTTGTGGTTCTTAGGAGGTTAAATGGCCTATCATGGAGGAGAGAGAGAAAAACTCACAGTCTTCTATACTAAGTGTAAGTTTCCAGTATTAAGTTATAATTAATAGACAGACTTCAAGAGTATATTTGATACATGTTTTTGAAGGAGAAAACAAGCCAACAAAAACGATCCCCCTGCAATTGAGCCACTCCAGAGAGAAATTAAACAGTTTCCATCCAAAATTGTTTTCGGTAGGGATAAGAAAAATTAAGTGTTAATTAATGTTTTTCTGACAAACCCTAAAAATAAATGTTTGCCCTCTTCCAGGTGGTAATCATTAAGTAATCATTAAGAGGTAATAAAATTGACTATTAGCTCTTCTGTTTTTTATCATCATTATGGAGTGTTTTAAAATGTATTTACTTAGCAGGATTGAAAAAAATACAAAAAACAAGTAGCAACAGTCTTTCAAAAAATGTTTTAAAAAAGCCTGAAGTTTTTAATGTGTTATTTATTCTACTCATAAACTCTTACATCCAGGTACTTCTTGGTGTTATGCAAAACGCACACTGACAGAGTAACCTATGGAAACCAGCCACACTTTCAAAGACATTTCACTGGTTGCTAAAATAACGTCTGAACCTTTGGGCTTAGCCTACAGTGCATGGTTAGGCCTCGCAGTTGCCCAGATCTGATCTGAGGAGGCACCAGCCCAGGGCCCCAGCCCAGGTGACAACCCGTCTGCCTTGGTGTGTGGTGCCATCTTGTAACACAACCTAATACTACACCTGGGGGCACCCTGCAAGGTTTGCGGCAGTTTTGGGTAAAACCTCCACTTCTGCAGAGACACACACACACTGAAGGTAAAAGGGCCCCACGTGTGAGCACACAAAAACACAAAACGCAGTCCTCTGCCTTCAGATTGGGACTTAAACTGTCTCCTCCTACACTTTCCCCAATGACATCAAAATGAAAAGGCTGGAGATGCATAAGGAGGCACCTATGCACTGTTCCTGTCTTCAAACCGTTTTGTACACTTTAGACAATGGAAAAGTCTGCTGACTACACATCACTCATTTCAATGATGGGCCAGGTCTGTGCGCCACAGGCACATTTCTATACAGATAGAAATTACAATCAAGTACTGAAATGGCCTGAAATGCTGAGCTCCCAATATTCGTACTGCTCCTTCAGGGCAACCAGACCCTACAAATCCTATCTACCCATGTGATAGGCAACTCCACGCTCCTCCTAGAGGCAACCTCATGTGTCCTTTTGGTCTAATGGCACTGCAGGGGTAGATGGGATATATGAGGGCAGCACAGTATAGCAAAGGGTCTGCCCATGCATACGTATATGTTCATCTGAACATTCTCTGAAATTGAAAATTTTTGCTCTTTTCCTTCTTGAGAAGGAAAGGTGGAAGGAAGGTGGTGTATCTTGCTGTAAACCCATTTCTGAGTCCTCAGAGTAAGCAACATAGTTAGATGGAGAATTTAGTATTAGGCCCAGCCTCGAAAGCTATTCTTGGTTGTAGTATTTCACTCCATGCCTGCAAACCACCTCTTGGAAAATAAAAGAGGATCTCAGTCTGCATTTAATGAAGGGAAATGAGGTAAAAGAAAAATACCTGGCCTTCTTGGTTGTGAAGAAAGACTGGGAAAAAGAAATACGGTGCATCTGAGACACAAATGTTTTTCTGTGACTGCAGAGAGCTTAAGCAGAGAGCTGTTACAGCCAGGCAGGAGCTACCTCAGAAAATGTTGTGTGGGACAGCTTTCAGGGCTGCCTCAGCAGGGAACTCCACAGGTGGCAGAAGAAAAGTCTCACAATTGTGATGAGGATGTAGCAGCTGAGGCACATCCTGTAAGTGCCCATTGTGTCACCTTTGCAGCAGAAATGTGGCTTTTTGAGAGAAAAGTAGTCCTCCTGTCTGTTCAGTGAAGAGAAGGACCACGCTGCATCATCCTGGCCTTCCAAGAGGTCTCATGTCACCTCGTGCCTTGGACTACAGTTGCCTTGCACTGCCAGTATTTTCCAGTCTTGCATATCATGCTTCAATTTATAATGCACAGGCTCTGTGCTATCCAGGAACACAATCATAGTGAGACAATTGCAATGAAAATAAAAAAGGTAAAAAGCAAGATAGTGAACTATGATTGGGTGGTGCTACTTCAAATGGATTCTGCTTGTCACAATTAATTCTCAAAATGCCAGTTCTCTTGGTCGTGCCTCTCCCCATGGTCCCACTTGCCTTTGGTATAGTCCGGTCAATTGGTTAGTCAGCCAGACATGTAAAAGGCCTTTAATAAGATCTCTGGATTGGAAATTACCATCTAGCGTATGACATTTTCTCAGAGAAGCCATGAAGATTGAATGCTCCTACCTTCTTTGAGTCCTCACATTAACAATGAACCTGAAATTGTTTAAAACAACAGAAATTTCAAACCTAGAGAACTTCTGAGGTAGTGCATGAACTGAACATTTACTAGAGGGCAATAAATGGATTGAAACAGCTTGCTTCTCAAACATTTGAAGCTATTTATTTCGATCATGGAGGAGAAAGCAGTGAGCTTGGCCGTTCTTTGAGACGAGCTGGGGTCAGCAGGGCCAAGAGAGATATTTGCTGGAAGAAACGTAGGCTTCATCCTTTGCTCATGCAGGATTCATCCTGTACAGTGCTTCACATTGCCAGTGCTTCCCAGTCTTTCTCATCATGTCTCAATTTATAATGCCCAATATGTGCCCTGTCCAGAATCATGCTCATAGTGAAATAATAGCAAAGCGAATAAAAAAGGCTAAAAATGTTACAGTGAACCAGAACTGAGCAATGCTCTTTAAATCAGATTGTGAAATCCTCTTAAGAACAACACAGTCAGAAAAGAATAATATACACATTAATACTGGAAATAACATACATGGCCATAAACTACAGGTGGAAATAGTATCCTCAGGTGCTTCTGCGACCATTTCTTCAATATCTGAGTCACTGGATCTCTCCTGTACAATTACCACGACCCATATGGGTCACCATTACCAGCTGGCATATCTTTCAGTAACATGAAATACTCTTCAGAAGTATCTGATTCTCACTGAATGTGACTGTTCAGATTATAGTTTTACTTTGGACTTGGCAGGGCATTGCCTGAGCTTACCATCTGGATTGCGAATGTGTTGCTTAAGTTACCTTTTGTCCCTTTTAATAGCTGAAAACTTCAGTGATAAATCTTCTTAATTCCCTTTTCTTCAGTCTAACTTCCCCCAGCTACCCTGTGCAAGTTCTTTAGTAATTGTCTTTGGCCTTTCTGTCTTCTTCGTGATATAATTATGACAAAAAACATGTACAAGAACTAAAATAACTTAACCTCAGATTCTGAAAAACAATGTTTCTGCTGTTTGCAGTGAGTCAATAATAATCTGTTCTTTATAGGACATGATCTCCAGTATTCGTCTTCATGTACAGATAAATAAATATTTTTCCTACTCCCATTCTGCTGCCTACTATTTTCTATTTCATTCAATTTTTTGAACCTTTTTCATTATGCTGTGTCCTGATGTTTTCATTCAATCTGATGGTATTTCATATGCTGTGTTGCTATTGATTCATCACGCAATATTATGGAGATGTAATTTCACAATACAAGTTCACAGTGATTACCTTAATCTTTGCCTGCATTCAGGATTATCACTTGAGAACATTGAACTAAATCTAGCAAAGATGTTTTAGAGCACTGAAGTCCCTTTCCAGCACTCCTGCAATCTTAGCGCAAAATAAAGCAGCTAAATCTTCCTTGCTAGGGGTTATGCTGAGTTATTAGCTTCCTTGAGAAGCATAAGTGCTGTTTTAGGGTCAGAAAGTAGCCTATCAGACAAGAATGATTTTCAAAAAATATTTTGAAGCCAGTGGGTTGTTGTCAAGAAAGGAAAAAGCTAAAAGAGAAAACAAAGATCCATCCTTGCCTAGTCAGTATCTTCAAAGCTGTGATTCCTGACTAGAGGCTCAATGGAGAATTTTTACCCGTAATCTTTCAGGTATCATGTTCACTTGTGCTATAGTGATATCACTTAAAAAGTCAATGCAAAAAGGTGGTGAATGACTTTAACAGTCTTGAGTATATTCTATCTAGGAATAAAAGCAAAACACTATTTTTGCCTAATAATTAAAGTGCAAAGGAAACACTCCATGTAGACAAATGAAGAATAGGAAAGATGTAAGGTAGTAGAATATATATATATATATTTTAATTTGGCAAATTTTAGAATTTTATAAACAAGTACATTCTTACATCTCAGAATTAAAGGGAGAAGGCTATAAAAATATTATAGCTGGTTTCATCAACAGAATGCTTTCACTGATAATCTCACATAGGGCATACCTATTAGTGGACTATGTCCTTTTACAAATAGTGCAATGAACTCCAAACATAAAGCAATATAATATGATTTCTCAGTGTCTTTTTAAAATCATGTTTAAAATATGAAAACATTATTCAATTGCAATTTCTTTTCTTTCTTTTCTTTCTTTCTCAAACCATGGTTCAAGGACGGTGCTTACTTCATTTTCAGCTTGATCTTAGGTCACAAACACAGTTCAACAGTGCAACTAGAATGTTTTTAGATTTCAATAGACCATAAACATTTCTGGGCTTAAGAAAAACCTATTTTTAGAATACCTTCCAGAATAAAAATATTTTCCTGAATTAGCCAGTTGTTTTTATTTTGTGCTCATTCATTGTGGCTTATTAGATGCTCGTTGATATGACTACATGGTGACCTAGAACAAAAATACCTACTTACATTGGCCTGCCAATATGTGCCAATGTTTTTTCACTTGGAGTCTTTCCAATAGGTTACTGAAAATCCATGGTGTTTCAGCAAATCACCACACAGCTTTCTTTGTCTAGAACTTCATGCGACTACTGCTTTGGCTCCTAACTTTCTGGGGAAGATGCCATATACTCTTATATCAACAGAAAAGAACTTCTGAAAATAAGCACTACAGAAGAAAATAACTTGGAAAGACAACTATTCTTCTATAAGGAAAAATGGAAAATGAGAAGTAAAAAATCAAAATGGAGAAAAAGATAAAAACAGGACCAAGAATCATCTAGGAAAAACATCAAAACAACTATCATATGGAATAGCTCGCTTTACAACCAGATTTGTCCTTCTTACTTGCAGGCATCTCAGGTAAAAGGGAAAAGCAGCAACTGCTAAACTTAATATCATTACCTCAAAAATACTCTAACAAATGAAGACAAATCTTACTGTGGAATATTAAATGAACTGTGGTAAAAATTTCCATCAGGAAGTTTCTTTTACAATAGAAAATCCATGATGAATGACTAGAAGAGAGTTATGAGACAGGGTTTACTTCAGAGGAAGATTATTTCTTACCTGACTTGTTCTTGCATTCAATATCGTAGCCCGTGATTGGGCTATTTCCATCAAATCCCATGGTCCATCTGAGGGCAATACTGCGTGCTCTCACCTCTCGTATTTCTATTTCAGGAGGGTCAGGGGGCTCTGAATAAACACACACACTCAGTTTTAGTCAAAAGGAAGGCCATACTGTTAATAAGATACATTAACGAGCACGGCACTGACATGGCTTCCTGGTGGTAAGCTCTCATCCCATTTTCTCCAGTCACTCATTAATATCCAGAGTCATTTAATCACCCATTGAAGAACACTCAATAGAAGACAGAAAAGCCACTTTTAAACTAAGAGTCACTCATGTAATCTTGAATGACTAACTCCTATTTAACCTTCATATATGCAACATACAGTTGCATTTCCTTAAAAACACTCCAGATTGGTGTATTCATGCTAGGGGAGATTTTTGCTATGAATGCCACATTGCATTGAAATGCAATGATGGTAGAAATATGAAGGCTACACTTACAAGAGCTAAACTTTGTAGGGAGAGGAAGTTTCTATCCCTTTGCATAGGTATATAAAACAGAACCGTTAGAAAGTCTCAATTACACTAAGGCCTCTTTATGCCTCGAGAAAATTAAGGAAGTAAATAAATAGCATTGATACCACTTTAAACTGTCAGTGCAGTTTAAATGAGCACTGGTGTAATTGAGAACCTGAGAACTGTCCCCAGACTCCACCCGAATTTCTTGACTGAGCTGCTTTAGGCATTCACTGAAATCTGCAGTTACGTGAAATCGAGGGTGGAGAGAAAGAATTTTTGCAAGTCCTGGAAATTTGTTACATGCACGCTCAAAGGCATACAAGCACTGGAACAAGCATCACGTAGAAATAAGCAGTGGCCAGTGGCTGAGTCCTGCCTGCGCTCTGCATCTCAAATACTGTCATCTCAAGGACTCCTGAATTTGCTGCTGTCTGCCTGAGCGAAACCCTGAGGGAGGGGAACTCCAGCCCTAGGTAATATAGGCTCCTAGAGTTTGGATTGAACAAGCATATTAAAATTTATTTTGACTGATTAAACTTGAAATATTTTGTTTATAGATATACAGTAGGTTTAATATTGCTCAAGAAAAAAGGTCAGATTGGTTTTGCTTTATTTCAGACTAGTTTTAAGCACATCCATTATTTAAAAACAAATGCAACCCTTCCCTCCTTCCCTAACAAAAACTTACCCCCCTTCATATCCACCGTTCCTACTAAAGATGCTACTGTTAAGTCTGTTTAGTAGACTGGCAGCTAGTGTATTTATGAAAAACTCTCCTTATTCATTTGTACAGTACTGGAAAGACTCTGGAGATTATCCTTCATTTTGATTTAATTTGTGATGCCGGAAAATGAGAGACTGAGCATCTTAATGCAGCTTCTCATTTCTTTTAACAACTAGGAATATGTTTAATTAGGATCTAGAACCTCCCTCCCCCAACAGATTTCTGAGCATGGCATACACTTACTGTACTACAATAGCTGTGTTTTTTTCCTTATGATGTCCTCTTCCTACCTTGCACAGTGAGCTGAATTATTCCGCGATCCTCCCCATAGGAATTGATGGCATGGCAGGAAAAGAAGCCGGAATCTTCACGCACAGTTGGCAAAATCTATAGGTGGTTTGAAAAGAAGTGATTGATTGAACAGCATGCAGAGAAAATAAACAAGCAGTTTTTCTGTATGGCGCAAGAAAAATTATGCTAACTGCTTTACTTGACAGTAATAAATAGACATTGCATATTACGCGCATACCGACACATAGTCTACATAGTAAAACATCCAAAATGCTGAGATTTATCCAGACTAGAAACACCTGGGTTGAGGAAGCAGGCTACACGTGTAGTCAGGAGTTGGAGCACCACCTATTCCTGCAGTTTCTCATTAAGAGCCTTGTTTCCAGTTACTCACAAGTTTGCCAAGTATTTAACAGTTGGCTGAAATTTTCCATACAAAATGGTGCCTGCTGCTGCTTCCAAATTTTTCCAGTTATTTCTGAAAACAACTCAAATGGTGGAAGTCTGTGTGGAGGAAATAAAGGTTCAAACACTGGTGATGAACCCTGCAGTATTCAGCATGATGCCTCATAATAAATTTTCGCACTTTTTCTTTCAATTTAACAATATAGAAAATCAGACATAGTCTTTAATATGGTCATAATGCTATTTTTCTACAGGACCACTGCTTCATTCAATGTACAAGAGGGAGAGGGATTTTTTAAAAAGCAGATATTCAAAGTATAGTTTTCCTCTCATCGTTCAGTGTGCTGCTCCACACTTTATTTACTGCACACAGTTCAAACTGTGCCCTGAAGACAGACTTATTCATTTCCTCGTAGCCTTTTCTGTGGCACTCACCTATGCAATACCCATTTCAGAAACATTACTGAATTTATTTTCATAAACCCTGACATCCTGAGGAATATTACCATCATTTCATATGGGGAATTAAGGAACCAAACATATGATAGTGTTAGCGGCTGCTTGACAAGTTGCCACATATTAGCTGAACCATGGCAACTCTGCGTGCTCTTTAGTCCTCAGCAACTGCAAGGTAATATGAGCATAACTCTCATTCACCACTGGCTAAGATAAATAGATTTATTTCCCACTTGCCATAAGCTACAAGCATATTTGAGAGGCACCATCTGAGATACGGTAACCTGTCAAGCTGTGGTTAAGTTACACACGGTGCTTAGCTTTAAGATACAAAGAGTAAGACAAAAAATTTCAGAGCCCAATTCGATACATCTAGGGCCTTCTCTTCCCCCCTCAGAGTCCTTAGCAATAAATAGCATTTCATGTTTCATAACATAGCTTCCATTGAGTTAAGCTGCAGCTATGAGGGCTTAGTACTTCTGCAAATCAGACCCCAAGGGCTCAAGGCAAGTACCTAGAAAACAAAGAACACACAATTATTGGCCACCTGTGAAAAGTTTGGTTTCAGTGATCAGCCTTGCATCACACAGTGTCTTTCATTACTCAACCCTAATTCAACTCCAGAGAAATTCCAAGCCATGCCTGACTGAGGCAGGGGTCCTGCAGAAAAAATAAAAGCTGAGTATACAACTAAAGATTACATCATCATGCACACATGCAAAAGGCCTGAATTAAAAGCTTAGAGACAGCCTTAATCCGGGCATTTTCTAATTTTTTGAGTACTTTTATCTCTTAAAAGTCCCCGTTTTCATATGTAACATACATACGGATGTAGAACTCCACTACTGTATACAACTGCTTCAGAATATAATTCTCCGAGCAAGCCTCCAGCCTTCCAAACAGAAATACACTATCTTAGTAAAGTCAGTAAAGTAACTACCTTACTAAAGTCAGGACAATCAAAGGCAGAAAGGTCTAGGTGGTCTGCCCTAGGCCTAAATATTATCCATAACACAAATATGCTAGTATGCACAAATTCACACATAGAACTTATCCTTTCTCTGAGAAGTCACTGACAAAGCTCTCTCATAGGAAGTGAAATCAGATTTTTACTGGACATCATCCAACACAAATTTTGGCTAATGATGAAAGAAATACACTTTAAGATTTATACTAGAATATATAATAGATAGCATTGCCACAGAGACAGAGAATTTTTTCCTTGAGCCTGATAAAAATGTATTTTAGAGCGTGAATGAAAAATGGAAATCAAGATTTCTGAGTGAGAATCCCTGCGATTTTTTGTTTTAATTTCTTTTAGATTTCCTAAAGGCACATGCAAAAATATAAAGGAGTGGACTGGTAACTTGTTCGTATTGACAAATTTCAGATTTGAGTGGAAAAGAGTGGGAAAAGTTGCATCCTCATATAGCGAGGTCAACATCACAGCGCCACCTGTTTTAGGTGAAACCAGAACTGCATGAGCTTCCTTGGCTTCCATGGTGTCTTGAGGGTACTGAAGTGCCCCAAACAGCAATGCTACTCATGTAGCGCCTCAATCTAATCCAAGACAGCCACTTAGGAGTTAACTGAACCCCATATACTGATTTGCCAGGCAAATCAAGATACACAGCTGTCACACCACCAGAGAGCTGCCTGTCACAGAAGCAAAAGGGAAGATGCAGGATACAACCAGTTGCTGCTGGCTAAGTGACTTCCGCTACAGTATACGCTGTGCCAAGCACTGCTGGCTGGTGTAGATATACTATTGATGCACCTACACATGCCCTTTCCTTACTATCACACTTTGAATCTGGTAACTAATCTGACTTTGTAAAATGGTCTGTGTGGCTCACAAGCCCAGTGAAAGGGAAGGAGGAAAAATAATTTAAAAATACAGCTTTTTTCCACTCAAATTGCTTAGTGACGTTGATACAGTTAAGCCTGACTTACAACACACCTACAGGCTAGATATTCACTCAACACTTTGCAGCAGCTTACTCAAAACAGAGCTGTGCTGCCCCAGCAACGACAGGCCAAGGAACGAGCCTGAGACCAAATGAAACGATGGAGGGGACGAGAGGCAGGCTCGAGACAAAACAAAACAACGGAGGGCATGAGAGGAAGGCTCACTTACTGCCTCTGGGGCACGAGTAGATGGAGAGGATGAGTGCCTTTTGTGGGAGGGAGACGCAGAGGTTTCCTCTACCTCCTCTTGGTGGCAAGAGCAGCCAGCCCAGCTCTCCAGGGCTGTGCAGCAGCAGTGGGGCTCTGGCTTTCTGCCACCTCTAAAGCCCGCTCTGGTAGGTAAGCGCTGCTTTGCCAAAGTCTTGCCCTGACCCAGGCTGCGCATAGTGATGCTGGGCTCAGGAAGCACAGGCAGAGGTGGCTGGATACCCTTAACCGAAACTAAACCATGCTGCGCTCACGCACGTAACTGAGTCGTGGGTCATTCTGCTTTCTTACCTGTAAAGTAGAGATCACTTCATCTCCTACTTCCTTGGTGGAAACAAGATAGCGGGACATTTCGGGGTTAATGATCCGGTCCTCTTTTTCCCAGCGGACTATGATGGGTTTTTCTCCGTGAGCTGTGCAGCTCATCTCCTTCTTTTGACCCTGTGTTGCCAAGGTGGTGTTTGGATAGGAAGTTATCATAGCAGGGACTAGAAACAGACAAAACAACAAAGACCATTCTTCAGTGAGATGACTACTCCGACGGAGGGCCAGCCTTCATATCTGGAACTAACCCAGTCTGCTCCTATTTGACCAGATAGCTAAAAATGGGGGCAATTAATTTCATTTTTATCTGAGAGGATCGTCTTGAGGGTGAGGGTGGCCCTCAACAGGAACTTAGCAGTGAGGAGCCAGCACCAGGCAGGGTGGTTACAGAGGCAGAAGGTGCAAATCCACAGTAAGCCTGGCTCTATTTGCGTTGCTGCACACAGCACAACTTTTAACATAAATAAAATATGCACAGACACATAAAGGTGCTGTTAAGTAATAAACATTTAGAGGTGGGACTAGTAAGGAACTGATAGGTTTTTTTTATTCTTTCTGATGAGCTAGTCATCAGATCATATTTTCATCAGACACATGCATAAAGCTAACAGAAAGTGCTTTTACCTGTTTTATTTGCTGACAGATACATGCTCTACCATTGTGTATGACAGTAATGGCCTATCAAAACGAAGGCCCCATTAAAGCAGGAGCTGTACAAAATTAAAAGAAAGCCTCTGCACCCAAAACTTACAGTCCATGTATGTGCCGAGCACACAATTAAACTGTACTGAATTGAAAGTATAATTAAATTAACAATAAACCTAGTTTGATTTGTGTTCAAGATGCTCAATAAGTAGGTGCAGAACAGTTTGACTGTAATCGTCAACCTCTTTATTAATTATTTAGGACTAAAAAATGTAAAAGTTGAAAAAAAAACCTCTCTTGCTAACCAGAATTGGTTGAGAACCCACATATTTTCACATTTTAGCATGAAAATTTTCTGAAAAGAGAAATAAAAATTCCTCACAGTGTTTTATTCCTAAAACCCAGAAACATGGCATTTTTGGTGTCCTCAGTAATTAATCTTTTCCTTTGCTGTATGATTTGTCCATCAATCAATAGTTAATGGGAAAAATCAAAGTGCATAAGTCTGTCTCTCAGTTATGACCACTTCCCTGCTTAAGAAAAGCTGGAAAGGCCTGGATAATCTACAGAACTGATGTCTTCTGAGTTGAATCGGTCCACTCCTTTCAAAGCAGATGAAGTATCAATAAAGAGATCCTTCACTAAGCTTTTACACTCCAGGGCTGCCTCCTGCAGTCGTCCCATTCTCCTCATTTTTATGCACAAGCACTCGCCTCTTCTTATCAGAACAACTTACTCATTCCATTTGAACTTCTCTGGGCCTCAATTTTAAGAAGATGACATTGGCACAGAACCTGGTTTGAGGCCTTCTCAGTCTTTTTTTTCCTGCAGAGATTGCATCTATTGCTACAGGATAGCAAAAAAAATCCTTATTTAAATGAATTACTATAATTGCTGTTTTGAAATGTTAATGTTCGGTGGCATGACCTTTTCACATGTCAGAGCTATTGATGCTTGGATATGACAATATGTCAGGACGCAGTCCTTTGTGTTCAAAGGACTCCTGAACCATAACAAACTGATTTGAAAACTAACAGGGTTGGGGAGCTGTGGGTTAGAATTACGAATGGCATCTAATTACAGAAAGATTTCTTAGAAAGGTCTTGTGTGAGACATGAAGCTCTTTAAGCACTGATACGCACTAGTGACGATGTACATCTTGTTTAAATATTTGGATATTAGATAATGATTAGTTTTGTCAAAGGGAAGTATTCAAAGAGAAGAAATGATGAATAACAGGAATAGAAAATTAGGATGAGTCAGAATCCAACTTCCAGAAAATGAAAACTGGTTCAGTGTTATCTGGTGTCTCTCCAGGTACTGATACCTGAAATCCTTCCTACCTCCAAAGCCACCTAATTGTCTCTTCAACTGCAGTCTTCTTTCCCACCAGTATCTCCTGTTTCAAATTTCCCTTCACCCTCCAGTGACAGAGAAGCCATGAGTTTAGTCCACCCAGGAGCTGAAAGATAGCATGTGCTTCACTATGAGTGGCCTCAGCCACTCTGGGCGCACACGCCTCCGGGCTGGAGGGCTCAGCAGTCAGAGCACGTTAGCCTAGCCGCTGGGATGTATACCCTCCTCCTGCTTCACTGTGCATCAGCACACAGTGTGCATCTACATACAACAGAAGTTTTGATTTGAATTTAAATCCTACAAATCTCAAGGAGTCCGTCTCAGAGACTCCTTCCCAGGTTTCACTGTCCTAACAAATATCTACCAAGAGTCCCCTGATGGGTAACAGTGCCAAATCAAATACCATGAGCATCTTGCTCCCTTTCTAAAAGCAGGGGATAGTTTTTAAAGCTCAAATATTCCAACAAACTTCCTTAATAAGAGCAGTATAAAATTGTGTAAAGGAAGATGACTTGATTCTTCAGATATAGCTTTATCCCTGCTTATCCTTCCTTTCCTCTCACATAATCTTCTGCACTGATTCCCTATTGCCATAGCAGTGCCTCACACCTAAATATTTCCCTTTCTTCCAGAGCTGATTTTTTACTCTTCACAATTTATCTGAAATTATCCTAAACCATAAGCTCTTCTTTTTATCTTCCTTTATGTCAAAAAGATTTCTGGTAACAAAGCCACATTCCCAAGGATATTTTAGGGAATATATTTCTTCATCCTCTAACTATCTTTAATCAAATTACTGATGCAAATAGCTGAGTTAAATATACTTGCTCTTTACTGACAAAATCACCTGGAAAACTGCATGTAAACTGAATATATATGGCATATATATAAGATGTTCTCTTAGGATGTCCTCAAGACTAAAATTCAAAAAGATTCAAGCAAAGGCACTTAGAAGTATATCAAGATGACTCAGATGTCATAAGAAGTGTATGTATCCTCATATCCCTTCAAATATGCATTATATATACATACAATGTATTAAAATATATTTATAAAGGTGAATTTTGTGAGGGATGAGCATGATGCTGTGCATGTTCAAGGAACACAGAGCATCATGATCTGCATCCAGAGCATCATGGATTTAGGAGTAGGCTTCCCTCTCAGATAAATTAATCCACTTCTTCCTGCAGAGCTCTCCACATCTTTCTGTGAAGCATGTCATGTAGTACTTGCCAATTTTAAAGGCAGCATATTCGATAAAGTGGTAGCTACAGTTTATAGATTATGGCAATTCCCATTTTCAAGGAATGAATAGTGCTGCCAGCAGGAGATTTCTCCATTTAAAGTTGGTCTTCCATTTGGAAAGCTGATTTATTTACTCCTTTTCCAAGGTCAACCCATTATTTTTGCCTTTCTTCATGTCAGTCATGTAGGGAGCAACTTCACTGCTTTACACAATTTATTAACAACCTCCTCATTAAAAATCAAAGTGTAAAATTCAGTAGTGGAGGTTACTCCTAAGAATCATAGAACTGATTCAGACAAAATAAGAACCTTTTATCTAACTCTTACAGAAAGCTGAACCTGGACCTTTCCTGAGATTCAGTAAAAACTGCTTAATCGGGCTTTCTTTTCTTTGCTTCTGCTGAATATCTCATCAGGAACTGAATGAAAACAAAAACGAAAATATTTCATTGTCTTGAAAAAACTAGTCTCATTATCCAGATTAGGGAATCTTTAATAAGATATATGAAGCTTGACCAAACTAAAAGAAATTCTAGAATTCTTTCAGAATAACCCTTCATAAATTACTAGTAAATGACAATTCACCTATGAAAATCCCTGAAAATACTATTGAAAGACACTTCCTTCTTTTTTTCTTTCCTTCTTTTCTTTCTTTCTTCTTGAGATTGAGGGAGCAAGGAGGTGGAATCAATAACTTTTCTCTCTTTTGGCTCACAGATTGAAACTACAGATGGGAAGAAGACAAAGGGTTCTGCATTTTTATACTTGTAATTAAACACTAAATATCCATGTAGATCCTTAAACGATTCTAGGACTAACCAAAGTTCTCAAGATGGTTAAGAATTACTACTGTAGTCACTAAATAATATTTTCCTAGCAACCTGGCTCTGGTGAGAAGAGAGCAATAGACACCACCTAGCCAATAACACTGTTGATGGGGATATACCACACAACGCTGTACAATGTGTTTCAAGCTATACTGAAAATTAGGTTGTTGATCGTATCCAAACATCAAAACAGATTCAAATTGCTCTTGGGAAAGAGAATGGAAAAGATGCAGCACAGAAACAAATTCAATTATTTAATGACATAGAGATAACTAAATACCACGAGGATTTGTGAGTGTACTCGAAAACAGAAATACTCTGGCATGTGTCAGTGGTGCATCTCCAGGCATGTCCCTTCAACTCTCCATGTCTCCACCTCCCTTGGTCCAAAGATCTCTGCCTTTGCAGAGTGTTGTTCCAGCATGACTTGGCCCATTGACTGTAAAAAGCTTGAATGGGCCAGTTTGGGGCCACCTGCACCCACTATGTAGCAGATATAGGCCCAGCTCTGCAGAACGAGAAATATCTGTCACTATGGGTGGGATTCATCTTGCAGGCATCTAATACTCAAGCTAGGCATCACAGTCTTCCTCACTAGAAAGGCAAAGGTATTTCTAGAGTGCTGTTCCTCAAGTAAGATGAACAGTGCCTTCAAAAGGCCTCTCTTCACACTGATTATTCAAGAACCTGAAATGCCTTGCTCAGTGGCCAAAATCTGCACGCAAAGGCTGTAAGAAGGAAAGATGAATCCCCTCTCTTGTACAGCTTCTAGAATAGAGGATCCTGGCCTTCTGATATGGTTTCAACATAAGAAGAATAAGAATAACATCATGAATGAGGATAGAAGCTTGGGTAAGAGAAAACTGCATTAAAATTGAATTGAATTAAACTGAAAAAAATGAATTTCAAAACTCAATTTAGCAAGCCACATTTAGCATGTCCTCTCATGCTGATCTACCAAAGTAAGAATATTCTTCTGTCCATGATAGATGAGATTTTACACCACAAAAAATTTGTTACCTCTTCTTCAATCTTCCTTCGCTCAGACAAAGAAAACCCATGCAAATACTGTATCTACATTTAAGGGGGAA